AATTATTATCTTTGCCACTGTCACAGCTCCCTTAAATTTATCATAAGTCAGAAGCCCTAGGCAAGGGCTAGGAGATCATTTCACCAAGGTACCAGCCAGCTTACAGAACTCTTCTAATAAAAAGGAACAAGAGTGAGTGTATTTTCTGCCAAATAATGTTTCATCAAGCCTCCAACTCCACTTGTAACCTATCCATGGAAAGGCCTGGGTTGGTACAGAATCATTTGTTACTCTCAATTATTCACCAGATAGTTTATTGCTATTTATTTCCACCCACAGATTGCTCTCAGACTTTCCTCTGGGATGGGATTTGCTTCCTAAAGGGAGGATTTCAGGATTTGACTAAGCAGCATGCACGGCAGAAGATATCACATAACAATGGGTTTGCTTCCTAAATGTCAAACCCACAAAGTGTTTGCAAAGTGACCATACCAACCCACCTTCATTTTCCCATCACTCCCCCTACCCCTAATCTTTCTGCAATTATTGATTTCAGTGGTTACCCATGGAAGTCTCTCTTTCAACGGTATTTTTGTGAACAAATATTTGCTTGTCCCCCATTCACAAAAAGCACATTAAAGCAGCATGTCAGTTAGAGTGTGGGCTGTCTTTGAACAGATGTTATGAATACTGTTTTGCAGGATTTGCCCAGCAGTAGATGAGAACAAGTAATGAGGAAACTAGGAACATGGGTAATGAGGCCATAAGGTGTGGAAGCTTTCCAGGAGCAAGGGGAGCTGGGTGGAGAAAAGCTTGCCTTACCAATATGTAGCCACAAACCTTTCTCAGACTTTATTTCTATTTCTTAATGGTCACTCTCAAGAAAAAGTATTCACGAGGGCTCATTCCCTCGAGAATTAATTTACCTTTGACTTAAAGGTGGACACAAGCATATACACCTCCACATAAATCTTCTAATTCCATAAACATGATATGTAAAAGTGGGAAAAGATTTGGGATTGATCCAATGTACTTAAATGGGGGGGGGGGGGGGGGGGGAGGGGGAAAGGATGAATTGTGTCCTTATAATCAAGTTGAACACTTGTAACTATAATCTTCTCTTAGAGCCACAAACAGCTCCTTCACCTGTGTGTTTTTCAACCACTTTATTATTTGTTCTGTATAAAACATATAAAGATAATTAATGGGCTGAATTGTACAAGAGTTCTCCTTATCTCTTAGTGGGTAGCATGGGGAGAGGTAAAATGACCCAAAAAATTATTTCAATCAGTGAATGAACAGATGATATCTCATTTCAGCTTCAAGACCTATCCAACAGTACTTTAGTAGAAATACCAGCAAAGCAGCACACAAATAACATACATATCTTGTAGATTACATAATTTATTTGGAAATGTTTTCATTCAGTTAAATAAACTTCAGAAAACTACAGTGGAGCCTTCTTATAAATTAACTCTAGTGCCTAAAATCCCATGAGCTATGAAATGTTAAAGAAGGAAAAAAAAATTAAATACATAGTGTTGCTGAGCAACACAGCTCACTCTTAAACAACTTTCCCTTGTATGTAGTGCCTGAGCAAGAGACTACTGTGGAGTCTGTGTAAGTACTTGCCCTATGGGTAGTGTGATTTTGTTACAATCCTTCAAAAAACAGCTACACAGACAGTTACTGAATTCAATTATAAGGAGTCTCCAGGGTTATTCCATTACCTCTACCTTTAGCTCACAGTCTCAAATCAAAAGTTTGGCTGTTCTTTTTTTAATTTCATTCATTGAAAATCTGTGATATGAACTTTCAGCATGGAAATGGATCAAAAAATCTGCCGTTTCAATTGAATGTAAATGGTTTAGGAAAGTCTCTACCTTTACAGACTGCTAGAGGCAGGTTCGGTTTCCCACTGCCCTGTCCAGATGCATGCTGGATGCCCAAGATCTCAAAAAGTGCAGAGCAGAAGCAAATTGCCCAATGGGCTCTGCACTTGAGCAGGTCTGGGTTGATGCCATTAATACCAGCCCTGGGTTGCCCTGCAAGCATCAGCCCCAGGAGGACAAGCCCTGCCCCTGTCTTGTGAGCTCAAAACTCCCAAACTGCCCCAAGCTATTAAAAAAGAGTAATTTCCCACAAATCAGAAATCTTGCTGGTTATTTTCTTTTCACTGATACCAGGGCTCTTAGCAAAAACAGCTTATATTGCTCAGTACTAATTTCAGCTTCCACCCATCTGCATGCATCTACATGCATCTGCCACCATGTTTATAATGATGAGGAAGGGGTTAACCCAGAGAGCAGGTGGAAAGCAAGCCAGCTGCAAAAAGATTAAAAAAGCAGTAGGAGAGCACAGCCTGAAAGAGAAAGAGGCCAGCAGGGAGAGGAGAGGATGGCCTTAGCCTTGGGGGGGAGGCTACCAGTGCCACCCCAAGCAGGGGGAGCCGGCATACTGGTGTCTTTGGTGAGGCAGGTGTCTTCTGGCAGCATCGGATGTGGCTTTGATCTGAAGGCAGGAGCCATTGGGGACAGGGTCCCCTGGGCAGGGGAAGCTCTTCGGGGAGATGACCTGTTTTCAAGGTTCAGTTTGGCTAAGCTTTAGTTCTCCTCTGCTTCACATGGAAATTACAAGGGGGGTAATTAACCTGTTAGGAGCAAAGTCATTATTTTCAGCTTGATTTTTAAAGGTCCTTAGGCCCCTCCTGCACAAAAATTTGGGAACTGAGTGCTTGGATACTGCTTTAAAAATCAGGTCTTTCTAAAATTCCTACCTCAGACCAGACCAGAGCAAAGCTCTCTGCTGAGGTTTGAGGTGCTATAAATGAACCTTCTATATGGTCGATTGATGCTTTCAACTTCAGGCACCTCATCCGGACAGAAAAGTAATGAAAGACATGAAGAAAGTCAAGGGCTGGAAATGAACAAAGCAGACCTGTGGCCATGGCACAGGATGAGGAGTCGGTGACTCTAGGTCCTGTTCCCAAAACTATTGCTTACTTGCTGTGTGGCCTTGAGCAGTCCACTTGCAGGCTGATCCAGCTCCCAGTAAAGTCAATGGGAATTTTCCCATAGTCTCCAGTGAATGCTGGATCAGGCCCTTAAATTCCCAGCAGCCCTCTCATTACCCCTCCTGCAAAGCTAGGATAACAATATCTTTGTCTCACAGGGTAGCAAGGGGACTAATTCATTAATGTTCGTAAATTTTTTCAGATCTACAGATGGAAGGCATTATGTCAGCACAAATTATTCTTATTTATTATCATTCTCATGGTATTTCCAATTGTTTCTGCTCACTGAAGCCAAGAAGTTCCAAAAATCTTATGAGAAAGTTTCTTCTCTGGAGATTGGACCCCATTTCTGGCCCAAAGATATGTGGAAGCAGATACATTCAGATGGCACTGGAATGAGGGAATATTTACTGAAATAAATGTCTAAATCTTTGGGGGGTTTCCATGAGTCCTGGAAATTGGAAGTATGCAACACTACAGAAAGTACAGTCCCTTAATTTTAACAAAAGACTCTGGAGCCAGCAGTCTAGCAAGCAAAACACTGAGGCCAAAATATTCAAATTCGAGTCTCAGAGCTTGCTGCCAGTGGGAAATCTTTGAGTTAGCTCCTAAGTATGTCAGAGTAGTTTTGGAAGAAAGGTGGCTTCTAGCTAGGGTTCCTTGTGGAGAGAAGGAAAGGAGGAGTCCCGTCCCTCCTCACACCCCCACTACCTGCTAGGAGTTAGTCAGATATCAGGTCCAGGCATGGAAAAGCAATGAGGTCAGGGGAGTTGGCAGCAGACAGGGGATTTCACTTGAGGGAGGTCATCGTGAGCAAGTGGTGATGTATCATCTGGGGACAAGGAAGAAACATGTTTCAGGTCTCACATACACACTCTTATCTCTGTGTGTGTGTGGCAGACGCCATCACAAATGCTGCGCTGTAGAAGTTGGTGTCACAAATACTGTACTTCCCTTTTCACTGCCATACTGTTCCTGCTCCATTCCTTTGCAGGTAGAGAGCTCACTATGCTGCTTTGGAAATGCAGGTAGTCTTAATGTACTGATAAATCCAGCTCTTTTAGTTCATACAATAAGTCAAAATTGGTCAAAGACAGGAAATTAACCTCCCTCCCTCCCCTGACTGTGCACACACGCACAGACACACGCATGCACATCCACAGCCAAGGCCTTCGGCAAGCCATCTGATAGCAATCAGTATTTTGAGAAGTGATAGCTCATCTGTAGATTCAGCATTCTTTTGCAGCAGAAGGTATTATGCAAACTAGTCCCATTAGAAAAGCAAACATCAAAGCAAAACATGTTTTCTAAGAGACAAATGCATAAACCCTGTGGTACCTGACACTGAAACAGAAATAGAATTACCCTTGCTCTCAATGGAAAGCATAGCTGCAGAGGATAATAAAGGAGCCTTGTACACTGTACCCTGAAGTTTTCTGTACTGTGCATTAAAGGGAGAGCAGTAAGCTTGGGAGATACAGCCTGGGAGAGCCTGAAAGGACTGACCCTGTCCACAGTGAGCAACAGGAGGACACGAGCTACACTGCAGCTGGCTGTGGAGCAGCACAGCCACGCCATGCCTTTGGCACCAGCTGGAATGCAAGGTGCCACTCCAGCCTTAGGGGAAAAAAAAAAAAAAAAAAAAAAAAAAAAAAAGAGTGCAGCTAAGGTTACACAATTACCTGTCTTGAAAATGCAAACTTTTAAAAAATATGCATACCTCCCTGACCATAAGTAGCCATGAAGTATGCTCCGTGGGTCCTTTGACTAAAGTCTAAACAGAGGAAGCTCTCTACAGACAGCCTCCTGCTTAGCAGCGGCTGCTGTTGCTCAGTCACTGCCCCTGTAAGAAGAAAAAAAAAAAAAAAAAAAAAAAAGCCCTCATGGGCAGGGTGGAAGGGTGGAAGGCAGAAGGTGTGAAATGAGGCTTGGATGATGCTGTCACAGTGCTGGTGAAACAGCACAGCCAGGTACCACTGATTCATTTAAATCAAGAGCAGAATAAATCAGAGCCTATCAGGACTACTGCAAAGTTGAACAAACTTACATTAGGGAGGAAATGGCTGCTGAGGTTCACAGGGTGAGCTGGAAGTACATGTGCTCTCTCTTTCTTTCTCCTCAGCCCCCCTCTTTTTGTCTTTCAGAGCCCATTTCTCCAGAGTGCAGATCAGCTATCAGACCGAGAGAAAGAGAGAGTGTGAGATGGCCGACCTTGTCCTCCAGTGCCGAGGGCCTGTGGGTTTGGGCCAGGAACAGGAATTCCCTGTACAGACACTGAGTCTGCTGGAGGAGACAGGAGAGCCTGCTCCACAGAAGAGCACTTTGTTCACTGCCACCAAGGAAAACTTACACAACAGACACACACAACCATGGAAATATGAATATTTTAGAAGTGTGTTTTTTTCCTAGAATACACAGTGCTCTTATTTCCTTAGGGGGGCAGTAAAAATTGGGCAAGAGCATATTGCCAAATGCATAAGAGTTAGTGAGGATATTAATCCTGCATGCTGTAGTTACAGAGAGCAGGTCACTAAAGAAAGTCTGAATAGATCAACAATTCAGAATAAATTACTGACAAATTAAATGCCTACTGGCCGTGTCTAACAGTGTTTTTTTTTAAAAGTCTCTTCTGTTTTTTAATATATTTTCTGTCAGTTCATCACTTCTCAGAAAATGCAGTTAAAATCTTTTTCCCTTTGTGCCCCAAAAGTGTATGTGCATCTGTGTTTGTGTGTGCACGTATTTTATATGTGCAAAATCCAGGGTAGATATGGATACCAGATAGTGCTGTTGTGCAGCTGTTTAGTGCTGCATCATTCACACAGAGCAGCCCTTAAAGTGGCCTGAACAGGCCTGTGTATGAATATAGAGAAAGTGAAGGGTTAAGACCCTAGCCTGGCCTGATTTCACTGGTTTCTTGAGGTACCTTGTTAAACTGTTTGGAAATTAATTCCTCTTGCTTTAACCATCCAAGAGGTAGGTGCCACACTAGATACTCAGTGTGGACTCAGAGAGGTGGTGATTCGTTTTGTCTTCAGATTCACTCCATATATCTTTCCCCCTTTCTCCTGACTAAAGATAAAGCCTGCGTGGATAGATTGGACTGTATAACTAACTTTTAGATGGCTAACATAAACTGATCTCCCTCTTCCTAGTCCATACTTCCCTATCGCACTAGGTCATATGAGAAAATATTCGTAAAAATCATGGGTTCCTTTTCTATTAAGAACACACAGAAAGAGAGCTTAGATGGTGTATTGGCAACTGTAAGCATCTTAATGCTGTTTTCCACACAGTCAAGGTTACAGCTCTAAAGAGCAGCAAAACACAACATGGTTCACAACGATGCACTGCTGGATGTGGAGACAATACAAGTGCACCAAGGCTCATGAGCTGGAGAGGCCTTGAACGCCAGGCTGTGTAAATGGAGGAAGGCTTTAGGAAGCTCTGATGGGAACACTAGGCTGGTATTCCTATTGCATCCATAGCACCAGGTCTTTGCCAGATATGCTATGCCGCTGTTTGCTCATGGTCTTCTAACTTCTAACTGGGGAACTGGCCTCACAAATAGCCACCACAGGAAACAAAGTCAGCTTTATATCACCTTTCCAAACCCCACCTCCTGGACCAAGTCAGGAACTTCTTGGTGAGAACCTCAGCTGTGGTTGGTAGGGTACATGGATATGTTACCCAGTGGTTACCATTAAAAGTTAGTTTCTGAGAACTGCCACAATGCTGTGTATGCGTGTATACACACATACACAGGCACTCTGTATACTGTACATAGGATCATGGTTTCACCTTTACTGAGCCCTAATTTAACTCTATCAATGAGAGCTTTGCTTTTTTAAATAAATAAATAAATAAATAAAAAGGAAGAATTCATCTGAAATCCTGTGCAGTACATTTTAAAAATTTGGAACTATATGCTAGTCAAAGGAAACATATATTGATAGGAGACAAAAATCTTACAATTCTATGAAGGGTTTTGGGTTGGGGCTGCAGTTTACCTAGGTTACAGATATCTTCCCACTCCTCTTGTGTCACTCCAGACGGGGAACATTTTGTGTCTCTACTCCACCGTGCTAATGTAAATAACTGTAGACTTGTATCCCTTATACCAGAAAAAAAATAACCTTGTAGATCTCAGACCTCTTTACTTCTAGTAAGTAAATAGTGTTACTATGATATTCCTTGACTCATTTTATCCCTGCCTCTCCTGTCATCCATATAATGATTTTAGTAGGGTTTTTAAAATATGACTTTCTTTCTCCTGCCCACTTCTCCCTATCTCAGTCTTTCTGTAAGGTTGCTTTCATTGATAGTCAGGGATTTCCCATTTAATATAGACAGTGGTTGATCAGAGAAAGCAAAGAACCCATTAGCAGTAGATGGGGATAAGGGAAGAGCATGCATTCAGTAGTTATCTTGACATATCTATCAACTATGAGGTTCTCCAAAGAGAAGGGAGCTGCTGAAGAAGTGGATGATAGTAGAAATAAATAAACTTTCCAGTCAGGTGGAAAGACCTAAAGAAGTTTTTGGTGAACAGGAAACTGAGGAATGCCAAACTGGACTTCACACAAAGAAGGTCAGGAAGGCCATGTAAGAGGTTTGAGATTAGGCATTCTTTATCCAAATGTTTTTTGAAGCTAACAAAAATTAATTTTGTTCAAAGAAAAGTCTGGGGTTCCAAGTTGGTTCCTATTTTAGCTGGATTGATTCATTTCTCCATGTTTATTACTACAATAATTTGAAGGTATGTGATTTGTAAATATCTAAGAAGATGAAATCTAGCATACTGCATACTTTTTACTTTTAATATTGGCTAAGTTTATTGTCTGTTGCATACAGCTTGTATTTCAGATGTATACATAAAATTCTCTTTCTTTTGTAGATTAATATCATTACAAAATATTACATATGTTTCATACTAACATAAATTATACCATAATGGTCAAGATACAGTTTTAACATCCACACACTGAACAGTGAAGTGGTACATAAGGCTTTTTATCAAAATTAGTCAAGTTCCAAAGAACTATGGATCCTTTGCCCTTAGGTAAGTTGGCATAGAGTGTAACATGTATTTTGGAGTCTGGGGGAATGCTTAATATATGTAAAAAGTTATGCTTTCATTTCTGTTAATGCCAAAGCTCAAAACATATGTTTCAAATTCCACAAGAGTACCAGGTACTTGGAGATCACAGCCTACTATTTTGCCTTTGTAGATGCCTTTTGCATGTGCCAATAATGCAGTTGGATCACAAATAGAAAAACACAAACAGAGAAGTGGAAAAAAAAATCACCTGCTGTTTTAGAGATCTGGCAGAAGTCCATTACAAGTACAAATGCTGGGAGGCTATCATATAGTGTTACAATGTGCACAACTTCATAATCATTCACACAGTAGAATTTCTGATGGCAAACTGCTGTTAAATAGCATTTTCCTGAGCATCACTAGGATATGCAATTAACCTTCTCTGCTGGACATCATTCCTTCACTTTGGGCAGCAAGCAGAAGACCCTAATGTGCACTTACAGAAAATACCCTTTCAGTGTTTTTCCATTGGCACACACACAGAAAGTTCAACTAGTGGCTCTGGAGGAATCTTGAGTCTGCCACATAGGTGGTCTGTTGCCTGCTGGAGAAGTCTGGATACCTTTATATTTGGGACATAATTTTTCTATCACACTATGCTCACTGCTCAGAAATTCCAAACTCACTCTTTAAATCAAGCCCAAGGTTTCTCAAACACACGGTTCCATAATATATATATATATATATATATATATATATATATATATGTATAATTTATATATATATATAATTTGTATATATATATAATCTGTGTGTGTGTGTGTGTATATATATATATATATATATATAGTATTTAGCACTACCACAGAAAAGGTCAGAGAACCACCTCATAGGTGAGGTTCAGCCTGTGTATAGGTATGGCTGTTACCAGATTCCTAGGTGACTACAGGTGACACAATTCCTGTAGATTATCACAGAAAGTCTCATTTCTTACAATCCAAACTCTGCTTCAGACATTTCAAATGTTGTCTTTGCCAAAAAAAAAAAATAATAAAAAACAAACACAGTAAAACAAGAATCCCTAAACAGCAAGTAGGACTTAAAACCAGGATATTCAGGTTACAGAGTACATGTGCCCATATGTATATACATGAATATCTATATACACTCATACATGTGTGCACAAACACGCAAATATACATACCGTGCACTAAAAACTTGTAGTATCTAGGGTGCACAGAAAAAAAACATCTTTGACCCCTCCAAAAACTATTTACTATTTGCAGAGTGCCTTTTTTCAGGAGTCATATCCTCAGACAAATGGGAACAGAAACTAAAAAGGGAAGGAAGGAAGGAAGGAAGGAAGGAAGGAAGGAAGGAAGGAAGGAAGGAAGGAAGGAAGGAAGGAAGGAAGGAAGGAAGGAAGGAAGGAAGGAAGGAAGGAAGGAAGGAAGGAAGGAAGGAAGGAAGGAAGGAAGGAAGGAAGGAAGGAAGGAAGGAAGGAAGAGCAGAATGACAGCATAGTCCAAGAGTAGTGTGGTTTGAAGAACAAACAATTGTGCTTCTGGATGGCACAGATAATACATTAATTCTGAGGTTAAAAAAAAAAACAATCCTCGCTACTCACTCCTGGAAAAATGTAATCCTTAGCTGAGCATCTCTGCTGTTAGATCTTACGCAAGTGGCTTCAGCAGACTCAGCCCCACAAAACACAGAAGTCTGCATTTTCTAAGATTATTTCAAGAAAATACTAATATGTTTAGGAGTTATATTTGTAGTCTGAAAAAAAAAAAATTGTAGTGCCAACTACAAATTGGCCAACTGCTGATGGTTCTCTAATTATGCATGAAATTGAATTTATTGACTCTGAACAAACGAACAGCAAAAGTTAACTGAGTTCAATAAAACTGATTCATTGCATTTGACAATGCTTTTGTTACTTAGGATGATTACTGAACTCTTCTTCAAGTTAAGCAACTAAACACAGCTCCATTTTCTTCTATTTCTTCTGCTCTTCTCCAAACATTCTAACCAGCTTTTAGAGGTGTTATCCACATGAGAACAGATTGGTTGTTCAAGACTTACCCCATGATAAACACCCCAAACTGTGTTCACATTATGTGTTCAGACTGAAACCAAGAAAAGTTGCATCTAGTTGAGGATGGATTAATCCCAAACTACCAGAGTTGTGGCAGTGTTTCAAGAAAGCTACACTCATATAACCCAGAAATGAAGAGATGCACACAGAGAGAAGGAGTTCCAGTCTAGAGAGTAATATGTCTTTCATTAATGACTAGAAAAGTAGATTTGCTGTGAATAGGGTGACAATTCTGGATCTAGTTGGGTAGCTTATTACTTGAAGGACAACAGAAAGTAC